ACGTATATCTGCTATAACAATCGACTACTATACTTTATTTTTCGAATTAAGTATTGTTTTCGTGACTACCAGTAAATCAGTAGTATGAGATGTATCCACCCAATTTCGTTTAAGGTCATGAAGGACTGGTAGAAGTGAATACATCTCATAGTACAAAGATAGTCAACAGTTGTCTTCTGGTGAGATCAGCCTTCGACTCTCTTCTCCGTGCACTTTAAATACGAAATGAAGGTCTCCCCAACAATGTTATCTCATGAGATTCACCGAAACCCAGCTACTCTTGGTATCTTCAGATCAAACATAGTTTCGCCTATATTCATAAGTAAGATTAACCTATGCTCACGAATGTTAAAAGACATGAAGATGCATAGTTGTGCACGGAAGTGGCTTAAAGTACAGACATGTTTGAGCTGACTTTTCTATTTCAGTATGAGTGAGTTTTAAGATTTTTCATTATTCCTGAATAATAACTCAGTTAGCCCAGATCACTGAGACCTCACGATGCAATCGAATTACATTTAGCTTTACTCAACCAGAATGAAGTTGAGTTTCAAACTCGCCTCAGCTTCTATTCTGGATCGAGACGTCGACTTACAAATCCCGTCTATAGTGGCATTTTCTATGAAATGAATATGTATTTGCCAGTACGGTCGACAAAGTCAAATATATTCAGAACGAGTATGTGTCTAAATTATCGTCACTACTTAAATAAAAACTAGAATCAAAGCGATTTTTCCCTCACAAACTTGCCAATTAAATCCGTCTCCTATTAAAAGTAGGCAAGTACGACTAAATGTGGAGATCTCCTTTAATCATTTCATCTAAAGGACCTGTCATTCTGTATGCAACGTCGATTGGCGGCCCCAGCGGAAACCGAAGCAGTTGGGACTCTTGCTTCGTGTCTTGTTGTCAGGGCGACTTGGTAGAATGCACCTAGTCCGAAGTCGTCTGCCAGAGTGGTTGTCATCATTCCCAGCATCAGACAGTAGACTTGGTACATTCTCAAACGTTTCGCCGGAATCATAGTCGGCATCATCAGTGTGTTTTGCCATTCTCCGCACTAACCTACGACTAGATGCGTTCTACTTATTAGCCCTGACAACAAGACCAAGTTGCGACAACTGCGATCATACCAAAGGCCACAAGATCTTGTTTTTCATTTCTTCTGTTAACCTGGGACAGACTTCATCAAAACGAAAGAAGACAGTTTTTTAACAAATCGCCCAAAAGCGACAAAGCCAATAGTGTCAGGTTACAATCCCACCTACTGTTTATATACTAATCTTGCCATCTCAATCATACGTCCCATGAGATAGTTGGGTATTTTGTTCATCTCCTTAACTGCTTGCTACAGTGAGAAATTGATACGAACTTGACCTCTCTTATGCCAACTAAATTTCATCCTGAAATGCCGAAACGTGTTCCGGTCCTGTTTCTACACCATGTTCAACAGTTGATTGAGATGTGAGAGCCATAACTAACCTCCAAATAAATCAGGATTCCTTACGCTTTTTTATGCTATTTATCAGTTTAATTTCTTAATATAATTCTTACGATTCTATTGATTAACCAGTCGTCAAATGACAATTCAGACGATTTTGGCTTCAGACTCTACTCATCAATCTGACCTCAACAGAGGAAACGAAAATAATTCTTGGCCTGAGGAAGTATTATTCCCTTAATTCTTCACTCTTCTGTACTTCACCAGTCTTTTTTGCAAGAAACCAAGTATAGCCGTCAAATCACTTTCTTGCCAAAAATGGCTGCTTCCCTTTTAGTTATTACTTTATATTGTGCAATTGCGGTGCCAAATATATTGAATTAAAAAATACCAATTTCTTTGAACCATTAAATTATGTCTGCTATACAGAGACTTCTCATACTACTTGATTTCAAACCTCTCATCATAGGGATCGTTCGAAAACAAATAAATACATACATACACCCACATAAACTCACAATAACTAGGCCACGAAAAAAAGGTATCATTATGCTTTAAATAGATAATGTATGCACTAAAAGGCCAGAGGTTTTCGGTCGCTAGTTAAGCCCAGAAATGCGTTTAGCACATGATACTTAAACTATGCCCACCACTAGTCATCGCTGTTCAGGCTGCATTTGGTTTCCATGCCAGTGTCAGTGCAAGTATGACACGACCTCATGGCACGACTGAGACCTTCCTGTGTTTCCGGATGCTACTCCCTCCTTCACATTCGTTTGGGAGATTTGTCACTGTATGTCTAGCGATAGGTACTTTTGTACAATCCCTACCTGAGGAGCTCAGTTCTCCTATCAAAACTGTATTCCAAATATTACTATAGTTTATTTTATTTACGGTATCTGAGTCGTTTTAAAGCCGCTCAATTTGGAAGACGAAGGGTAGAAGGCGTCGTGAACAAAAATCTACGATAAGAGTAGTTGGGGCGTCAGGGGCGATGAGATATGTCCTAGAGAAGGTGTCAAAACGCCTAGCAACCAACATCTACGATGTGCGTATAAGCAGTACCGACTATTAAGTGGACTGTATCACTCACAGTTACTATTTAAAACCAGTTTTTGTCAATTCCTCAAAATGTGAATAAAGGGTTCCCTTCAAAATCATATCTGCTGATGGAACATGCGAGTTTTTCGTAGCAGCAGATAAGACGTTTTCAAGAAGA